AGCAGTTATGAGTCGTGTGTAAACTGTTTTTCATTCATAAACAGGAGTTTGGCGGGTGCATGGAATCACCTTTGGCCTTTGTTTATGAGGACGGGCTGCTCTATAACACAATCATAAAAAGATAGCATTAAAGGTTTTATGTTAAAGGATAACATTAAACTCGACCCATAGGTTAAAGGGTCAAGTTTCAGAATATCAAAAGGACGACCATAGTCTCGTTTAGGAATTTATTGCACCCTAGAAATAATTTAAAATATTTTTCTTCTCCTTTTCCTGCATTCGACGTATGAAGTTAACATGCTAATGTATATTTGTTATAATTATAATACACAGAAATCATATTAAAGTGATTTATATCAATGAGAAAATCAACCGGATTTCTAATCATATCACAGTAAGTCTGTGAATGTGTGTAAATATTCTGGTTATTTACTCCAGTGGTAGAGCACTCAGTGGTGTAGTGATCCAGTGGTAGAGCACCCAGTGGTGTGGTGGTGGTCCAGTGGTGGAACTTTCCACTTTGCATCAAATAAGCATAGTTCAAGCCCCGAGCTTAACTAATAATAGTATTAATAATCCCAAGAACAAGTCCAAAATAAATCATGAATAATCATGAGTACACACTTAACAAATTATATGTAAATTGTAACGTTTTCATCCCTTGATAATTGGCTGGAAGGCGTAGTGGTTTTCTTCACTACTCGGATGTTCCTTCAGGAATGAATAATTTTAGTGTGTATAAACTTCGACCACACCAGTTATTCAACTTGGAGCAGAACCTCGTGCCTGGAGCATCATGAATAAAAAATAAAATCCATTAACTCAGGACGATGAAAAAAACAGAATTTCGGAGAACCCGAGAAAGGTGCCTCGGTTATTGGTCTTAAAATCTATCCTCACACTATGCACACTTCCTCTATGCATACTCATATATTGGGTGCTCATACGATCTGTCCTTCCGAATATTTCATACAGGATTTTGACGTATGCACCGGCCAATATATGATGAGTCATATCGGCTCGCCAAATTGACATTATGTCCTGTTTTCCATTCGCTGGTACTTTGGGGGTAGGTTAGGTTCGGGCAACTTAGTGTGTCATTTCTGTGACGTTGTGGCAACTCTAGAGAACGAGATGTACTATTACGGTGAATACTCTCACCGTGCACTCTCTTCTCACCGTGCACTCTCTTCCCACCGTGCACTCTCTTCTCACCGTGCACTCTCTTCCCACCGTGCACTCTCTTCTCACCGTGCACTCTCTTCCCACCGTGCACTCTCTTCTCACCGTGCACTCTCTTCCCACCGTGCACTCTCTTCTCACCGTGCACTCTCTTCTCACCGTGCACTCTCTTCCCACCGTGCACTCTCCCCCCACCGTGCACTCTCCCACCACCGTGCACTCTCCCACCACCGTGCACTCTCTTCCCACCGTGCACTCTCCCACCACCGTGCACTCTCCCCCCACCGTGCACTCTCCCACCACCGTGCACTCTCCCACCACCGTGCACTCTCCCCACCACCGTGCACTCTCCCACCACCGTGCACTCTCCCACGACCCACACCAGAAAAAGACACAGGTATGAATATTCTCGAGTGATAAATTATAATTAATATTTGCTTGCGTTTGTTCAAGTGAACTAGGTCGTCATTATTCTTAAACAACAAGACAAGTTAAAGTGTCAGGAATGAATAAAAGAGGAAGATGCTGCTCTGTAATGTGCGTTTCACATCACATTTCCAGAGAAAATAACCAGGGCTGAAATTTTCATTTGTATTCAGCGCTGGTGTAATATAATAACGCGAGGGAACTGCAGAATTTTATCTAAATCCTTCATATCCTCCCGGACCTTCAAGCTACTTACTTTTTTTGTTTACCTTTCTCTCTTTCTCTTGTTTTTTCTTTCAAATGTATTTTTTTTTTTTATAAAATTTTGGTGTGTCTGTACTTGCATTATGCATCTCTTTTGGTACCCCTGTTCATTCCTGTGACGTTTTAAAACGATAAAATGTCTGAAATTCTCATTTTTGTTTAATTTGTTGACTCAATTTCACCTCACTCTTGCTAGAGACAGTTCAAGGTAGTGGTTAAAGGATTAGCTGGTTGTTGCTTTAACGGAGTTGGCAGCAGAGGAGAGGTGTCAAACACACTTGTGTTATCTTGCAATGTTTGCAAAGTTCATATATAAATCTCAAGCTGAAATTAAACTAATCCAACCAAAATGTAGGCAGTGCAACGTTGCAATGATATTTGTGTTATGCATAGGTTAAATATATATATATGTGAATGAGACTAGGTATCTATTAAGGGTCTGTTGTGGGTCAATAGACAATCTGTAGAATCATATGTATACAAATGTTAATGATGTCTTATATTTAGTCATCACGATCCTCTCTGATTTAGGCTAAGACTTTTAGCCTTATTTATAGTTTCACTTTAGTGTCCTTCTAGGCATGTATTGTTATAGCTAGATGTAATATGTCCTGAGGGATCCCAAGTGAGTACAGACATACAAATATGTTTGAGTGTGTATATCACCCGACTTGATAATGGTCCGGGTTATCCGAAACGTCGTCGTCTCTTCATTTTCTGATTCCGTGGTTTGGTTGTCATATATTCACATCTGATTTCCCTAAAAAAATATATATACACACACACGCGCGCGCGCGCCTGTGTATCGTAAAATAACAATTTCTCTTTCTGTTTGACTGACAACTGTATTTTTTTTTACTGCGTTCTCGTAAAATCCTAAATTTATCATACATATTCAACTAAAAATTACCGAATTAATTATCTTTCTCATTTGGTCTGCGATAGTTATTCCAGAGTGAGTAAAATGTCTGGTCTGTTAAACAATCCATTCCAGGTCAGAGGGAAAACTTTGACCCTGCTGGGTGACTGGCACGTGAGGAGAGACCTAATTACAGACCAGAGTCAGGCCTGTAGGTCAGTAATGGTATGTACCTGAGGACCAGCTAGACTAATTAATGTGCCGTAGTTGAGTAATCAGACTCAATTCGGTCACATAACAAATTTCTCATTCTCTCTAATTTTCATTCTCATCCCATTTTCTTCCTCATTATCGTTATTTATCATTCCTGTGTGTACTTGTCTTTGAGTCTGTTAAAGACACAGGGAATATAAGGACTGTTCAGAGGTGGGACGTGCTGGCTCAGGCAACATGAAAGGGGTGTCTTTATAATCTGCTTCTCCATTGTTAATAATCTGCTTTGTTTGCACCAGAGAATATGCAGAAACACCTGCCTGTGTGTGAGAGTGGACTCTGTTTACACTGTGCAATAGAAACCACCACCGATATTAGTAGCAGTGGTACACTCTCTCCGAGTCGTTGTCAACACATGCGCTTCAGCACCAGACAAAATGTATTTAAATATTCAATAAAAAATTTATTAAATTGAAAAATATATCAATGGGACGCAAGTGCACCTGATGATAGAATACCAGTTAGAGAATTTAGAGAACTGGGAGCCTTTGTAGCTATAGAACAACTAATTCAAAATCTATTGAGAAATGAAATTATTCAAAACGTTTGAAAAACTGTAATGTAGAACATCTCTCTGAGAACCAAAGTGAAGATATAAAAGATGAGATGATTTACCTGATGTCTGTAATTTATTCAAAAACTTTTCATCTACAAACTTATTTTCACATAGAAAAAGTCATAGATTCCAGTAGACATTCCAGTAGACATTCCAATAAGCATGCATTCCAGTAGACATATATTCCAATAGACATATATTCCAGTAGACATATATTCCAATAGACATATATTCCAGTAGACATATATTCCAATAGACATATATTCCAGTAGACATATATTCCAGTAGACATATATTCCAGTAGACATATATTCCAAAAAACATATATTCCAGTAGACATATATTCCAATAGACATATATTCCAGTAGACATACATTCCAGTAGACATATATTCCAGTAGACATACATTCCAATAGACATATTCCAGAAGACATATATTCCAATAGACATATTCCAATTGACATATTCCAATGGGTGCACCTGCCGGTCTGTACCCATGCCAATATGCTCTGTATATTTTAATCCCAGAGTTTATCCAGAAATTAAATTAATATCAGCTGCTAATGAGCTTAGTATCCATTGACTGTGATAATGTTTCCAATTAACTTTGGTTAAACAAATGCAAAATGTTTCATACCTTACAACGAAGACATTTAGGCTATACGGGTCTTGAATTCTATTTTTCGATATATGATGTTCACAAATCGTAATTATATATTGACCAAAGAAGTCTATATTAAAAATAATCTTCCAGATAATGCAAATTTTCAAAATATTTTTACGATTATAGGGGAAAATAAGTTAATGCAAATATATCGGAAAACTTATTTAGTAATGTAATGATTAATTTTTGTTTTGGTATAAAATACAGTAACAATACAAAGCTGTCAACTCAACAGTGATAGACAGGAAAAAAATATTAATAAGGACAATATGTGTTATGAGAAGTTTACAGCCCCTCGCTGAATTTATAATATCTTTACGAATTATCAGGTAGCACCTTCTCTTCAATTATTGGCCAGAATTTGAGGAGTAATAGAGAAATATCAGACCAGCAAATTCAATTAATCTCTGGCCCTTGAGGCCACTGAGAGGGGGTTGCACAGCCATTTGCAATATAATTAAAAACGCTTATAATATTGATTGAGCTGTCATTTGTTCGTGGGTGAATGTTTGTAGCTCCAGGTGATTAATCATGTAATTACTTTGATGTAATTTTATTTACTAATGATGTTACCATTACAAATGCAAAACGGTGGATGATATCACTAGATTAGTCAAGATGAACAATGTTAGTCCTGAATTCGTAACCGCATGCAGTAAGCCTCGCCCATTGCTAAAGACTTAACTAAAATTAACAAAGACTTAACTGAAGACTTAACGATGACTTAACTGCTAAAGACTTTGGCAGGAGGCTGCTGTTTCCTGCCAAAGAATACATTAGACGCATGCCGCTAAGGTGAGTACTGCCACAATGCAATTTGCGTAAGAGGCATTATTCTGCATCTGTGAGGCATTATTCTGCATCTGTGAGGCATTATTCTGCATCTGTGAGGCATTATTCTGCATCTGTGAGGCATTATTCTGTATCTGTGAGGCATTATTCTGCATCTGTGAGGCATTATTCTGCATCTGTGAGGCATTATTCTGTATCTGTGAGGCATTATTCTGCATCTGTGAGGCATTATTCTGCATCTGTGAGGCATTATTCTGCATCTGTGAGGCGTTTTTCTGCATCTGTGAGGCGTTTTTCTGCATCTGTGAGGCATTATTCTGCATCTGTGAGGCATTATTCTGCATCTGCGAGGCATTATTCTGCATCCGCGAGGCATTATTCTGCATCTGCGAGGCATTATTCTGCATCCGCGAGGCATTATTCTGCATCTGCGAGGCATTATTCTGCATCTGCGAGGCATTATTCTGCATCCGCGAGGCATTATTCTGCATCTGCGAGGCATTATTCTGCATTTGCGAGGCATTATTCTGCATCTGCGAGGCATTATTCTGCATCTGCGAGGCATTATTCTGCATCTGTGAGGCGTTTTTCTGCATCGGTGAGGCGTTTTTCTGCATCTGCGAGGCATTATTCTGCATCTGTGAGGCATTATTCTGCATTTGTGAGAGTATACACCAACTCTTTCTGGCAATGAGTAACTGTTAGAGCATATTTTAGTTTGTTTGGGATTTGAGTAATCCTATTATAGCGCGGGATTAGTTTTGGTTTACATATGTGCAAATTTATATTTCAATTATGGGTTACAAATGGAGTTCAAGAGGACTATGACGTCCCTTCCGTCGATACAGCACATGACATGACGAGGTCAATCGTGGCGGGTGATTGGTCGAAGTTAATCGTGGCGGGTGATTGGTCGAAGTTAATCGTGGCGGGTGATTGGTCGAGAGGTGTAAATCAGGCACTCAAAGAGAACTCTATAACGTATTGTGAGCCCAATATAACGGAATATCCTCAAGAACCTCTGACTGTGGGCTCAGATGCTCTGAATTACTTAATATCCCACTATAGTTCCGTAATATCAGCAGGCCGGCTACCGTAACACGTAGTAAGTTTAAGATCAACTTACAGCGTAAGACTTGTGCTCCTTTGCGTCTCTCTTGCCATCTTAGGTCATATACGCTCAGAGATACGCCAGTTTCTTAATGGCCGGGCCATATTTTCCCTTTAATGCTAAGTGAAAACCACGCACACATCTTAAACCCCATTTCCCAGTAATATTTCCCAGTAATATTTCCCCAGTAATATTTCCTGTGCTTGCGTGCGCCCTCACGGCCGAATAGAATGGGATTATCAGGAGAAAGCACCAAACCATTGCGACTATATAGCACTGGGAAAGGGGGATCAGGATAAAGATCTGGGATGAGACAGGGTGGAAATAGGGCCAACCCTGGCCCAGACTGGCGCATGCTTAACAAATTCTAGCGAACTTGCTGTCGGAAAATCCGACACCATTTAATAATCATACAGATAATAACTGTAACCAACAAGTTACCCATAGAAAACGTAACTTGTAGTGGAATTACCGTCTATAGAAAACGGGATATCATCACCACATACTATTATAATTCACCAGCTATTCTGCTGGGAATTATTCTTAAATACATTAGTCTTTGGACTTTACCATCATAAAAACATCTTATATAAATTAACTTAATTATCAATATTAAAGTAGAGTAAATGTGACCCTTCTATCACTTTCTGAAATGTGGACAATGTAAGCCAGGCGTCAGAGTGAGGAGGAAGGGGCAGCCATTGTTGTTTATTGAGACCAGAGGCTCACACGGGAGCAAATTCGGCTCCTGTTAAATTTACTTGGACGTAGTGTTATGGAACCCAAAGGTGTACCATTGTCAACACGCTGTCTACAAATACAAGTTAAGTGTCTATCCGAAACCCATTATCTATCATTAGTGGCCATTAATGTCATTGGGTAGGGTTATCCGGTTAGATCACATGGAAGCCTCAAACTAAAGGTAATTAAGCCAGGTCCTCATGTTCCATGTACTGTTTTCTCTGATATACTTGTCATATATAGGATTCTGGCTTCACAGCTAGCGCACTTTTGACAGGTCAAGACGAGGATGCAAGATTATGTGCACCAGTTACTGGGTGATAGAAGCTACCTCAAAGAGGATAATTTGGTGTCTACACTCTAGTTATACCTGGTGGACTAACCTGCTGTACTATAAGAGAAGGAACCTCATCAATGTATGTAGCTATTACTGTAATTTGATTGGCTGCATATGTGTAATATAAACCCCCCCTAATGTGTAGAGGATCGATTTGTGAGATTATGAGATTATTGCAGAAATACAGTCCACTTAACATTATACAAATTGCTATCGAAGTATATAAATTAACGTAAATATAAATTCATATAAATTAAATAAATATAAATCTCACAGGTCGGTTCCCACACTTGCCTTAATAAATTTTTGCTGCATCCCTCTCAAACACATTCACTCTCCCACTCTGCAGTCCAACTTCGCCCCAGTTTCCTGGAATGCTTGTGGAGACAGCACAGAGGAGCGTTCCAACAATATGATCATGTACAAAAAAATAGAACTTGCTGAATTCAGTAGAGTTGACAAGGACCTTGTTGATGCATGCTCGCTATAACTGGAAGAGCGCATGTTTGTTTATTGCTTAAAGGCCGACACTGGTGGGTAAACTCACAAAACTTTGCATGGTGATTTGTAATTGTGTGGGGGAGTGTCATAGGATGGTTGGGGGTCGACCCCGATAATTAGGATCAACTCTTATTCCGAATCACAGCGAATCTTTTGAGATTGAAATGGGGCTTTGATTGTCCATAGTGCTTACATCGGATTTTCCAGCTGTTATCACGCGATGAATCGACGTCATAAGAGGATCGTATTTTACATGCTAATATGGCCAAAATATGAACAGTGGAAAAGTTATGTTAATATTCCTGATTGATGAATAATGATATATATATATATATATATATATATATATATATATATATATATATATATATATATATATATATATATAAAATATGCACATTATATCTTATAGTATAGATAAAACATCATGCACTGATATGTGGAAAATGTTAAAATTTTAAACTCGAACTTTTGCCGCAATAGCATAAAACAGAAGATCCTCGAACAGCTTAAATTTTATTAATATTATATATCATTAAATACAGAGACATACTGACACATGCTATTATAGTATTATTAATGGTATTGTGTGTGTGTGTGTGAGAGAGAGAGACAGACAGACAGAGAGAGCTAAACTACGCATAATTGCACCATAAACACATAGTTATACATCAGCTAGCAAATACAAAGTTTAAAACCTACATTTGAACACGCATAATTATTAGAAAATTAATTGAAACCAAACTCGTGTGTATATGTATTGATACTTAAAAGTAGAGGCAAAAATATGGCAAAACTCCTATGGTTTTGCTTATTACCATAAACATTATGTCTATTATGCCTATTATCATAAGCATAATTCCTATGGTAATATTGTTATAATAGTTCCCGCCGAAGCAATTACATTCTGTAACGCAGATAGTATCATATACGTAGACTGTCTGGCATCCTGTACAAATTCAAAGGCTTTGTCGAGGCTCAAACGAGCGAGAAGGATTAGTGAAGGGCTCAAGCGTTTCCTCGTTACTGGAGGTGGACCTCCAGGACCCTGTTGGACAGTCGAGTGTTACTGCTGACCTCTCGAGGAATGTTTGTGAACATGAATTGTTTTCTGGTACATTTTCTCTCTGATTTTGTTCCCAAGAGGGTCCAGTTACTTCGATAACCCCGTAGTTATCGAGTCCATGGTCATATTATCAGTATGTAGACCTATAAATATTAAAATCTAACGTGAGGTAAAACATGACACTGTTTTTATCACAAAAATGGAATGCAATAAAGCCACGAAGTCGTCGTTTTGGATTCATGATAAAAATTTCAACACAGATACAATAAAAACAACGTAAAATAAGGAAATAGGAAATTACTTTCAACTTTTGGGCCCATTTTGCAGTTGGGATTAAGGTCGATCAACTTAAAAGATAAATATCTCTAACTCAAGGAACGACTTTATCTGTAATAAGCTCCAGTGTGTTAATTCTTATAGTTTCTTAAGGTGTAAATAAATCATTAGTCACGCTATTTTATGATTTAGTTTCACTTAAATGAAATTTAAATTAATTTATTAAACTGCTATTAAATTTAATTTAATATTAAATGAAAATAAATAACACAGAATGAGACATATTAATCCATACGAGGGAGAGTCCAATTCTTACTCACCCAAACTCATGAATATGTTTAACATTCAACCAATTCACCAATTTCACGTCTGTTATTTTACGCGGTTATTTGTTGCATAAATCCAGGTCTGTTAAACGCCTATTGTTGTTCGGTGAATATATGGAAACTCGCTTCTCCTTATTATTTACACTGGCCTAATTATCTATGCAGCATCAAGGGGACCTAATATATGAAACTACTTCTTTTTAAAGTTTGGATCGCATGCTCCTTCAATAATTAAACTCTGTGACGCAACTTCTTTTCACTTGAAAAATACGACACGAGCAAAATTTTTTAAACATCATCAAAGTGAGGCGCTCTTTGGCCAGAAATTTCCAACACAAGAGCATAATGAACCAAGATGAAGTACTTTAGCCCACTGATGCGTTCTTCTTCCCCCCTTTGTGTCGCTCAGCCTCATCTGCCTGGCCCTGAGCGCTGGCTCAATATTTGTCGTTCAGGAGCTGTTTCTCAAGGGGGAAAGGGTGAGCCAGGCCTTGAGCGTGAGGACGACGTGCTCAGCACATACTCTTCACACCTTTATCCAGGTGAACGAGGCCCTGAAGGGAGATATTCACATAGTTTAGGAATGGGATTATATCGCCATGTTTTAATTAATACTTTGAGACACAGTTTACTTAAAAAGAGTCCTAATGGTATTTTAATCTTAAAATTTAATCTTAATAACAATCCTAAAATGGTATTTTAAGATTGTGAATGTATAAAAATGTGATAAACGATTACATTGCTAACTAACATAGCCTTGATAGCTGGGGTTAAGTTATCCCAGATGGTTTTATCTTACTCTCAATAGACTGGCGTAATTACGTTCTATCTTTCCTACTTTAAACCTAAATATGTCTTGTCATCTTTCAGTATTATAATAACTAGTTCCAATTCTTCCCTATTTGGCTACTTCAAAGTTCTGTAACATGTCTATTTTAATATATTTGGGTGTTCAGGTTCCATTTAAATCCCAGTATCATGATTCTGTATGTGTTAAATTAAGTCTGTTAACATTTGTAAACGTTCAACACGTCAATAATACCAGAATCATTCATATTTTGGGCTCAAATCCCATATTATTATGCATTTCCCAGTGTCATGGAGTGTGTGGTACCCACGTGTGGGGAATTAATTTTTCCCACACTCTCATTCATTAGACCATTCATTCATTGATTCATTGATCATTCATTCATTCATCATTCATTCATTCATTATTACAGGTGCAGGTACGTGAGTAAAAAAAGCCGGTTACATACAGACAATAAATACATTCACACACATTCACACCCACAAACACACAC